TTGTCAGTTGCAATGGAAAAAACCCAAACCAACAAAATTATTTCAAGTGAATATCATCCCGTTCTTCAGGTTGGAAATTAAAAAAGAACATGCAGCAGTTTAGAACGAGACTAGTTTATTTGTTCCCCAGTTTTTATTAAAATTGACCCTATCTAACATGAAAATAATCCTTCTAAGCCCTCTTACAGAGGACTTAGAGAGTTAGGCCAATATTCAATTTAGCAGAGCAGGGAGGAGGGGAGGGGACGACTTACACATCAACAAAAGCAATTCTACAATGAACAAGTACAGAGCCTGTGCATATAGATCCCACTGAGATGGGATTATGAATTAGACAAATTAAGTAAACTGATCCCCTTCAGACAAGCCAAATATTAAGATAAAAGAAGCCATCTGTGCAGTTGGAGAACTCAGTTTATCTGCAGCAACAGGTAGGAGAAGGCAGAGCATGTATTTACAAGTCACATTTGGGCAGCACTGCAGGTTTACAAACACTAAGATGTTATCTAACCTAAAAAAACTTGCCATCTAAAAACCAAACAAGGTAGGGAGGCTGAGCACACAACAAGCAATCCAAGATGGAATGCCACCTGTGACAGCTGCCTCAAGGGCAACTTTTGCTCTCCTGTCTCAAAGAACAGGCAGCTTTCTGCCACCTCAGGGAGTTAAACTGGCTCGCAAGAGGGTCTGATAACACCAAAAAAAGGGGCAGGATCATAAGATTGGGCATATAGTGGGGAAGGTTAAAAAAAAATTTAAAAAAAATCTCCAAGTTGCCAGGATGGCAAGCTGTTAAGCAGTCTAACTGCATTTCACTGGCCCTGCAGCTGTAAGCTGTCCCTCCACAGCTGCCAGCCTAACCATCTCCTGGCAAGTTTTTTTGCTCAGCTCTTGCCCTGGTTCTGGTGCTCTCAGACCCTGCACTGAGCCATCCTGATGTGCCAGCATAGCTGCTGTGGCACCATCACACTTCAAACACTGCTTCAATCCTCCCATTTCTAATGCTGCTAGCGCTAGATAAATTGAAGGGGGGTGGAGGGAGGGGGGTGGGGAACTGAACAGAAACATTCAAAACTGTCCAGAAACATTATTCAAAAACTGACAATACTCCCCAGCCCAGCTGCCAATGAATCATAAATTTATGAGAACACAGTAAAGGCATCATTAGCAGGGAAAGCAGAGTCATGTGGGGTTTTTTTAGGTGGGGTTTTTTTTGCTTGGTTTTTGTTCGGTTATTTTTTTTAAACCAGATACAAGAATGTCTAGGCCCAGTGTCACAACAAGTCTGCTTAAAAAAAAGCGCTTGTCACTGGAGAGGCAGGGACTTATCTAGGACCTAATCAATCGCATCAAGGGGACGTAAATGTGTGCGTGGTGAACCACCTATCACTTCAGCCTTTGAGGTTTAAGAGCTCTGCTACAAAGAAACAAGGGGGTTGTAGCAATTTCACTGTTTGGCCAGAGCCAGACCTACACTAGACTCCAGCACTAAAACCCGCGGGCGACAGCAGCAGAGAGCAATAATTAAATGCTCGTCTGATGAAGTGGAAAATATTTCTTACCAGCATTTCTTTTCAAGTGTAGGGTGAGATTCACTGTTACCTCTGATATTCATACTTCAAAATTTTTGGTCCAATTCCTTCTATTTTTGAAGTTAAGTACCTACCAGTTGCCTAATGTCTTTCTGTTCCCATCCTCCTCCCACCCTCTCGGATTAAGTTACAGCTAGCTACTCACCCAGCTGCTCTTTTATTCTAGACAGAGGCTTATCTCGCAGCATAACATACTACCAAATCAATAATGTTGCCACAGTTCAAAATGCATGTAATGCACTGATGACAAACACCACCTCACAGTCTCTCTGCACTGTCCACTATCCCCAAAAGACAGTGCACGAATATTCAATATTGCAAAGCTACAGATAAGAGGGATTTAAGCGAAGAAAAGCAGATATTCAGCTCCCCTGCCCCAAAGGCCAGAAAAGAAAGAACTTGCATAGCTCATGTTAAGCCTCAGATAAGTATCACTGCCGTGTGATCAAAGACCTCAGAAGACAAGCAGCATGGACACACGTTCTGGTCCAAAGCAGCTAAAGCAGCAAAACCGACTGGCCTCTACATACAACTTCTGAAGCGCCATTCTCTTTCTTCACCAATTGCTATAAACCATTGCTTTTTATTACTTTGCAGTTCAACATATGCTAAGAAGCGGAGTTTGGTACGAAACTAGTGAAGATTTTATTACGCTTACGTGACTTGTAGTGAGGCTCCAAGATGACTTCCTTCATTACAGCTAACAACCTGTACAAAGTGCTAAAAAGGGGAGTCTTTCAGAAGGCTACTTTCAACATTATTGACCATGTTCACTATCAATGGCCCAAATCTTTTCCATTTTAGAGTGGAGCAAAAGGGTTTCTGTGGCTCTTCTTTTCAATCTCACACTTGAGAAAGTATTGCACTTCCACTCATACAGAAATTTAGGGGGGTAGAAGGCCGCTTGCAGTGGGGGAGGGTGGGATTTTGAGGATAGAAACAGCCACAAGGCAGATGGAAGTTGTGGGGTTTCTAACTATTCTTAGTTTCCCCAGATTAGGATATCTGTTCATCACCAAATACTACCTATCCTGCTGTCAAAATCCAGAGAAGAGATTTAACTGTTTACCAGCACTCTGACATCTTCAGAGGCACAAACTCCTCTAAGTCCCTAAAATTATGATGATGTTGCTTACTAAGCAGCAAGAAAACAAGATAAAGAGATACACTAAATGTATAAACACTTTTCTTCATCTTTCTCCTCCAGGTTTTTCACTATCACCTCAAAAGTATGAGACTATTGACACTTCCTGCAGGTAAAGCTCAGAAGACACAAGATCAAGAAATACAAATAAAATTTGCTCTTTTCCTCATTTATTTTAGACTTAAATTTTTTCTTAGAACTTTCTCCACAAGTTTCCTTCACATTCCAGGAACAGGAGGAAGGGAGGAAACCATCAGTGCCTTGCTAAGGCATCTAAACAACAATAGGGCATGCTGCACAAAATCAAAGTCTGTAGTTGAAGAACACAGTCTTGAAAGCCAATATGCATATCCTGTGGGGATCTCAGTTTATATAGTTCCTTAAATTGGCCAGATGGATCTATGTTGAAATATCTTGGGGAAATACAGATAAAATTCAATGGATAAAGAAAGAAAACTGTGGGACTGAGGAAGAAAAACACCAAGAGAAACAAGAAATAGTGTCTTAGCTTAGAGAGAAGGGCAAAATGTCACCTTTCCTGGAAAAACATGCACATTCCAGCATGTGGAAAAGCCCAGTGACAAAAGAATGCCATCTCCAAAACTTTCTGCATCACACGTTAGAAGGGGGGGAGGGTGAGTCATCATTGGAAGGCAAACTTCACATCCTCAAAAAACCAAACCCAAACTCACTTCTCTCAAGAAATGGCTAAATAAACTAAGAGTTGGTAAAAATCAGCATATTTAGGAATGCCTTCAGGCATTTAAGCTAACATGACCTAATGCCACATTAAGTACAAAACAAGTTCTGTATTTACTCTTAATGGGCTTTCAAAGAGCCTGTAGGCTTTGTATCTGAAAATGAATGTCTTGCCCAAGTGAGGTGTTAAAAAATAATATTCACAGAACATTCACACCCCCGTCATTCCACTGGCGTGCTTCATATGGAGGCACATCAGCTGTTTTTCAGCAACTTTAGACAGATTTTTAATGTCATGCTTTCTCCTTTGTAAATCATTTTCATCTACTCTTAGTCAATAGTCTCAATGTAGGTTAACATAACCTAGAGAAACAGAGATTTTCCTATCAAGTACTGTCAAATTAAAATGCAACTCAGTATTACGATCTTCCAGAGAAGGAAGGGAGGAGAGGAGAGAAGCTAAGCTGCAAGCACCATGAATTCCCTGAGGTCTTTCATCTGAGAGAGGGCATCTTCTTATGAATCCCACCACACAACAGTCCTAGTGTGCTGTTTTCTCCACAACAGTAATTTTTGGGTTCTAGGGATTTATTTTTAGGCTGGCTCATAAACTAGGTAACAGAGATAGGATGGACTAAACATGGAGAAAATGAACTAGCCTGAACTTGACAGACAGGAATGCAAAAAGGAAGTCTCTCCAAAACAACAGACCTGCATCTAGGTTACCTGCCACACATTAATATCCTCCTACAAGACATGATGTTCTCATCTCTGTTCTTCCACAAGCCTCTAAACAGATTGACTATAAAGGAGAAGGGAACGAGGCAAGGAAAAGAAGCATTTGTATCCAACTTGCAGGAACCTAACATAGCCAACTACAGTAACTTGCTATTCTTTCAAGTCACTCTAAAAATAAGTAAATTCTCTCTTTTCAAACAAAACCAATGGCCATTTCCCCCAAATCCGCCACCTCCTTACTGCCCTGTGAGATTAAAATAACTCTCACTGGATTTCTATAAAGTTAGAACTGAAGGGCCCATTATCTGACAACTCCCTGCTCAGTCCTTTGACCTGTCCGAAGCACTTATCACTTCTGCAGCCCTTGATTACGTTGCCCAGTTACTTTAAACGTTAAACACAGTGCTGTGCTTTATGACAAGAGCCAAAAGGTGGCCAGGAGTGGAAACAGGGCAGCAGACAATGACAGACAACTAAACCCACAATATTATGGGGTCTGAGATCACTGGATCCCAAAATAAACATGCTACAAGTATTGTAACACTTGTCACAAGACATATTTCTAACTGTTCTTTTACAACCACCATTTTACTGTTTGATGATACAACAGGTGGAGGGCTTAGCTGTTCCTCCTACTAAGATGTATTCCAGCCTGACAGGTTTTTGTTAAAGTGCACACGGACACACACACACACACACACACAAGCTTCACAGTCATAATGGAGAGCTCTCAAGTTCAGAATCATTCCAGCAGCCTCAAAAACTGTTATTTATTTTCCTCCTCCCCCCAAAATACACAGACTTTTCTCTATAGGCCTTTCACTTACCTCTCCCATAGCCCGTCCTTCCAGAGCAAGCGCTTGAAAATCATGATTCAGTTCATCCATGGAACGCACCTATTTATAGACGGGCAAGAAAAATACATGAGGAAATGCTTGTGTGTGTGGTTTTTTTAATGATAATCATAGTTTATAGCAATTTTTCTGATACAAACTGAGAGCTACATTCCATATTACAGCATATAACGAGGTTATTGAGCTCCAAAAGATGACTTACCTTTAAGACTCCCAGAAGCTACAACGTTTATAGTGTTAGATTTATACACACACAAAAAAGGAAAAACTAGCAATTACTTTTAAGACACACAAAGTCCAATGCAACTGCCTTTGTTAAGTTCACTGCAAAGACTAATATTTCACAGTAAGTTGCATGATTTCAGGTGAGGGAGTCAATGCATAAGCAAGCAAGACAGCATAATTTCCTTTCAGGTGAAAATCAAGTAAAGACTTTTGTATAAAATAGGCAGATTTATATTCAAGTTACATTGATATGAAAAACACAATGGTAGAAACAAAAAACAAATTAAATGAAATAACACCATTTGAAATGGGGGGCAGGAGATGAAGAAAGGAGAGCAAGCAATGCCTTAAGATCAGTTGCCTATTTTAGTTACTGTACCCACAACAATGTCTCAAACTGGAAATCCAGAAGCACAAACTGGGCTGCAAAAGACCTTAAGAAAACCCCTGAGGGGGTATGGCCTTTTTCTCATTCCCGAGAGGTTGCCGGTGTGTGGCATGGCAGCCACGCAGCTCCGTGGCTATGCTGGGGGCCCCAGCTAAGGCAAGGCACGCAAGGGAAAGGCAATAGTGAAGCAGTCCTTCCAGATTCACGCAGGGCAGAGCTCAGGCACTGCAGGAACAAGAGGAGGGCCCTGGGAGTTGACACTGGCCTTGCTCACCTGGAGGACTTGTAGCTATACATTTACTTGGCCAGCTGTGCCATTTTCTGCTTTGGATCATGGTTTGATGAAAATTGATTGAATTAGAACAGGAAAAAAAAAAAGCAGCAACTTAAAACTGTTAGCTAAGTAAGTCAGATATTTTGAAAATGCAAGAAAACACTTCTGATTTCATTCCCAAATCTCATCCAGGCAAGTCCCTACAGATGCAGCCATTGAACACACGTGCAGAAGCAAAGAAAAAAAAAAACAAAACCACCCCCCCCCCCCCCCCCCCCCCAAAAAACCAACTATGGGCTTGAGAAGAAAGCACAGAAGTACAACCACGTGCTAGGATTCAGCCTAAATTATTGGCCTCCTCAGATAACACACCTGTATCAAAGCAGCACTTATTACAACAGCCACAAACACTTATGATGGCACATAGGCAATACTACACACCTCCTACTCAATGTTTACATAATCCCTGCTACCCAACAGATCTGATACACCTTTCTGCTAGAGCAGGGGTAACAGTTTGTAAAACACTTATTTATGAGTAATCCACACACTCTGTTCACTGCAGTCCCTTATGGATTCTTTTTAATGTGCAGTGTTTAGTCATGTCACCACTGAAGACATTGCAGGTGATTTGGACACAGCCTCCTCTAGGCCAAGGGAAGGAACCCAGTAATACCTGATGGGTGATTTATAGGACGAAAAAACCAAAAACTGGTTTAGATGCTAACGCACCATGCTGCCAGTGACCAGTGCTGTAAGCAGTTACACCATGTTCACTGACCTTAACCCTGACTTCTGATACTCATGCCACTATTTCCAGCAGAACGAAGTCAAGACTTTGTTGTGATTACGCTTTATTTCTATTTTAAGAAAAGATTCAATAGACCTCATCCAAGAATATCAGATGTAGGGAAAGCACCACAGATAACCTCCAGAAGTCCCCTCCACTCTGAATTCTTCTACTGTTCTGTGACAATACTACTTTGCAGAAGATCAGTAACATATTGTTAAATTATCTAATACATATTTATGTAATTCACAAATCCTCAATGGCCAGTCACTCAGAATCACAGTTTAAAAATAAAGTATCCTCTTATTACTGTATCTCAGTTGAAAGTTATTTTCAGTTATGCCTCAGTCTTGCCACCTTCTGTGGTGACGCTTATCACATCAAGTGACGAACACACAGAGTGAAAACAGGACTCCACCTTCCAGAAACTACAGTGCCAGGCAAGACCAAGGACTTCCCTTCACTGTCAATTCCATCACTGATCTGCCAGCTAAGGTATCTCAGTTGCCTCGTGTGAGACAGAAGCTAATAAGACCTAATTCTTCTGTGAAGCATTTCAAGTCTAACTCATGGAAAGTGCTGCAACCCCCAGACATGCCAAGCCACAAAAGCTTAACAGCAGCAAATTATTATTTCAATGAGACATCTGAGGAATAGAGAAGCTATACAAAGAGATTCAGTAGGTGATGTTCATTACTCTCACTGCTAAAGCAACATCCCAGCAAAACCACAGATGCAGCCACAATGGCACTGATCCAGGACTTGCAGTGCTGTGGAAAGTGCTAGTGGAGAAACAAAGGCTGCTTAGTGCGTGTCCCCCAACTTCCCCAAAACAAATAAACTCCCAAAGGTGGATGTTGTGCTATGGGAACCTCAAATAAAGCTGCTAGAAAGATATAATCATTACCTTCCTAGCTTAAAGGGTATTAAGAGACATTTGTACTTTGTTTTTGTCATATCCCAGCCCTATCAACTCCCCACTGCCAAGCAGAGCTCCCCTCTCAACTTCAGTTGCACTAACATCCCTGGTGAAAGCCCTGTGCAGAACATGCAGGCAGTTTCTGATCAAGAATCAACTCCTCAGCCCCTTCCCTCACCCATCTTTATGGTACTTCGGCATGTTACATGGTCATCCTTACTGTACCAAACATTTTTAAAAATGCTAGAATTGTGTATTTTATTTGTTCATATTAAATGCAAGAACATTTTCACAGATGTCTTGTTTAAACATTTGTCTTGAGTAGAAAAACGTGTTATCATCTCGTTAAACCAATTACAGCAGCACAAATATGTGAGTTACATCCACGTGTTGAGCCATGCTCCCATGCTGCCCTGAATTCTTGGTGGAGAAGCTAGAGCTGGTGTAACTAAAAACGACATCATCTCCAACAGTCAAAGCCTTCAATGCAAGTTCACGATCCCCCACCAAACACCACAACAATTTAGCAACTCCTGTTTCTCCAAGACCTACAGTCCAGTAAGCACACATAGCTCTCCTCAGTGCTGATCATTTGTCCATTTCTAGTGTGGAGAAGCATGTCTGTCTTCAAACGATGCCATGATAGTTGATTACTACAGAGGTGATACAGAGACCAAGATAAGAAGAGTGGTAAAGGGCAAAAAGGGGGATAAACATGAAAGCAAAGTGCACTCCAGCTTTTTCATACCTGGTTGGTTGAACTGCACAGTTAACAGAGCGCTATTATTTTCACTCCTCGTAAGGGCTGAAGGAACCTGTCCTTTAAACATGTCTTAGGTTGCAAACTGCCATCCTAATCTCCCTGTTAAATGATACACAGTAGAAACAGGCTGTCTCTATCTCCTTCCCAAATACACTTTACCCCAGTCACTATCAAAAGCAGAAAAAATAATATCAGCTTCTCTATCTGCTATCAGAGGTCAGATAATGGAAGAAATTATTCATTACAGATCTTTAAGTCACACCCCTCATCATCTCTCTTTCATCAGTCCTACCAATTATGGTTAAAAATGTTTTCTAAATCAGGTCTTCGTGCAGGCACTGTATACTCAAACTGTATATAATTGCCAATTTTGAGGCCCTTTCAGTCACATAGTTCCTTTATCTCTACTCATCACTGTATCTATTTGTTTATGATACAGGCTAGCTTATTTTTCAGTTTTTAAAGGCTGTACTCAAAAGGTCCTCTTCTCATTTCCCCACTTCTATAGTATTAAATAGCAACACCTCTTCACCTTATTTTCTTACACAGCATGCACAAATATCACAGGTCTCCTTCCTTTTGAAAGATGAACAAATAGCTTCTGAAACAGCAGAACATAAAGCCAAAATCACGACTTCCTACACCTTAGCATTCCAAAAGGCAGGCCATACTCTGAAATGGTAATTAAATTATATAGATGGTCTTCCACCTCATCAGGATCTATTCCTGTTAACTATCACTGACCCATAACAAACACAAACACATAGAGCAGTCACGATGGTGTAAACACTAGAAACAAGGAGGTCCGCAGAGAAAGAACTTCTTCATAGATGAGTGCTAATGTCAATGAGATTTGATTACCATAAAATCTGGTTCACCACTGAACCAGAGTTTTGAAAGAAATCCAGAAGACAACACCAAGAGAACTTGGCTGCACAAGGAATCAATGCCCTGACATCAGGATATGACATGACAACCTGGTTCCTTGGAGGAAGACGTGATCTCGAGAAACGTCAGGAATCACATGAAGAGATGTCAGCTGTAGTCCCAACTGCCTCATAAGTGATCCAACAAAACCTGACTGCTGCTCTTAGCCAGCAGCACCCCTCAGTCACACCCCCATTTCAGCCTTTTCCAGGCAAGCCAACTCTGCAAAGCAAAATGCAAAGTGCACATCCTCGCCAACTACCAAGAACAGACCTCCCTACCTTGTCAAGAGTACTTGTTCTTTCTGATAAGGCAGAAAACCAGCAAGCTTGCTTTTGAAGCCTACTTAACAAAATTAAGGCTCTGTACATCAGCAACACTGGTACTGAATGAGAGTTACAAAACAATTTCATTGCACAAGAACATTCCTCCCCTTCACATTAAATGCTGCGTATGCACTCAGGAATTATGTAAATCTCACCAAAATTAATGAAAATCTCATTCAAGAAGAGTAATTTCCATGCACGCTAATATATGAATGTGTCATTGTAACACACTCCAGCTTATAGCCACTTCACCAACTCATAAATAATTTCCTGGCTGCACGGTGGAAGCGCATACCCCAAAGCAGATTTGCCCAGTGCACTGACTACGAGCCACACTGAGAAACTGGAGTAAACCCACTAGATTGCTTCGCTTCACCAAGGCTTAAGCCAATTCAGTCTCTCAAAAGCCCTCTTAACCAATTTCCACCCT